GTGCTCACTCTTAAACACCTGGGCCCGGTTGTTCAAAAGAGAGTTAAGTCTAAGCCAAGGGTTAAATCGGCCTAACCCTGGGTTAGATTTTAAGCGGAGGTTAGTTGCGTTGTTCAACGGAAGGTTAACACTAACCTCGGGTTAAACGATGGGTTAAATTTAACCCACCATGTGAGCAGGGTTGAATTGTTAAACTCCTGTTAAATCAGGAATAAAGATGGCGGACTTGTTGTTTTGCGATTTACGCAGAAGGCGACCACGAGAAAGGAGATTTAGAGCCGGAACTCAGCGTGAAATCGACGATTTCACAGACGAAGAGCTGCGTGCTCATTACCGCCTTCGACGAGAGTCTATTTTATTTATTACCAATCTTGTTGCCGGTGATATCAGTCGCAACATTCGACGGAATCTCGCCTTAGCGCCGCTCCATCAAGTTTTAATTGCCCTCGGGTTTTGCCAGCCACTGCAAGTTTCGCCACTTCTCGCGAACTTCGGCTGTTGTCCGCATTGCCACACCAACAGCGTTAACAGACTTAACGGCATCGGCGATTTTTTCCACATTTGATTTTTTTCTGATTGGCGACGCTGTTGGTAAACTTGCTTTGTATCAGCGACAGGTTTTCTTCGACTTTTTCCGTCAAAACGGCAATTTCTGAAGCGCTAGAATTTTGTTTTCGAGCTTTGCGTGAGATAGCTGAGAAAGCCATTTTGCAGAGCTCGCAACTCGCTCACCATAGCAACATTGTAAAAAAAGGTAAAGTCTGTTTACGAGCCTAGTGGCCCATTAGGCCGGTGCTTAATTCCGTAGCATGAAGCGACTAGGAGTATTTCTACTCCCCCCTGGATGGGATGCCAGTCCATCGCAGGATGACAACATTGTACGAATAGTTTATTATGAGATGCTGACCGCGGCTAAACGCGCTTAACCCGAGGTTGGCTAACTTGTCCTCTAACCGCGCTTCGAACAATGCGAGTTAACAGCGAGTTAACAAACTCACGGTTAGGAAATTTAACCTCCGGTTAGGCCTCACCAGAGGTTAGTTTAACCTGTCGTTTGAACAACGGGGGCCCTGGTTACTTGTGGTCAATCATGGTCACGCGGGGTTACTCGTTGTCACTCGTGGTCACTCTTGCCCACTTGGGGTCACTCCTGGCCACTCTTACCCACTTGTGGTCACTCGTAGTCACTCTTGGTCACTTTTGGTCACTTGTGGTTACTCATGGTAACTCGTGGTCAATCACGAGCAGCCAGGTTACTATTGGTCATTCGCGGTCACTCGTGGTCATTCGGTGTTACTCGTACTCACTCGCAGTCACTCATTCTGCTTTCTTCTTTTAATCTAAATTTATGTTTTCATGTTTGTCATTTACGAGGTACTCTTTCATTCTATTTTCATTTGTAGGAGCTTTTATTTCAACAAAATCCGCACAGTGAGCAACAAGCAATTCAAAGATATCGCGCCAAGTATTCGATTCCTGTGAGTTTGAAAAAACTGTTCCTAATCAAGGCGTACGTGTAATTAAACTTCATCGAGAGTTAATTCCACATTCAAGTGAGACAGTGTGCTTAATTCTCGGATTAGC